TAAATTGCAACGTGAGTTCAGCACGTTCCTGACTTCTGTGAGTTGGTTTAATTATTTATCAGACCTGGGGAGGCCAGGAACCCTTGACTTTGCAGCCAAGTGAGACTGAAGGAAGCTGGTATTTGTGACTTGCATCAGAAATGGGTCTGAGGCCTTAGCCCTGTGGAGTCTGAGGCTAACTCCAGGTCGTTTATGCCAGAATTGAATTGAATTGTAGGATTCTCTGTTGCTGTCAGAGAATTTGAAAATTATTTTGGTAAAGGAAAAACTTTCAACCATCTGTGATGTGGGCTTTCATAAAAATCCAAGAGGACTGGGTTTGGAGAGTTTTTGAATAGGTGAACATAGTGAGGTCCCAGAGGGTGACATCCAGAGAGGACAGGGAAGCTCCATGCCTCTTCCCCTATACCTTGCCCTAAGCATCTCTTTTGCAGTATCCTTTGCAATATATTTTATAACAAACTGGTAGATGTGCTTCCCTGAGCTCTGTATGCTGCCCCATCAAATGAACCTAACTAAAAGAGGGGGTTGTGGGAGCCCCAACTTGAAGCTAATTTGTCAGAAGTTCTGGGGACTGGACTTGTAACTAGTATCTGGGGAAGGGGGATACTTGTGGGACTGAGTCCTCAACCTGTGGGAGATGACACTATATCCAGTTAGATAGTGTTGGAATTGGATTGAAGCTGGTATATGCTGCTTGTGTTGGAGAAGAACCTACACATTTGGTCACAGAAGTCTTTTTCTGTGTTAATTGTTGTGGTAGTGGTGTGAGATCAGAGGAAAAATATAGTTTGAGAGTTTTTTTCCTAACACCATTCCACAAAGAGAAATCAGAGAAAAGTAAGTAAAGTTCTAAATTCCCTGTCCCAAAGTAAAAGAAAAGCAAAATATAAGCATTTATATCATGTGCTTATGTAAAAAAAAAAAAAAAAAGAGTTTGCTAACAGCTGTTCATGATCTATGCTTTGACTGACGCTACATGTAGACTAGAAACCAGATTTTTTTTCTTTTCGAGGAGGCCATATAAAAATTGTCAAATGTTAGCTATTTTCTCCCCCAAATTATTTCTATGCACAGGGAAATATAAATATTAATACAAAACATCAGTACCCACACAGGTCCTCTGGGATCTTATAAACCTGGGTATTAATTCTAGAAGAGACAAAGTCAAGGATAAGATGTTTTGAGTAATCATTTCACCACAACGCCACTTCAATGATTAACAGGTATAGACAAAAGCTGGATTTAATAACAAACTCTCAAGGGAATGGGTAGAAAGATGTCATTTATTAGTCACTTGGTCATCCACCTAAACCAAGTGCCTACCAAGTATGAGATAAAGTTCTCATCTCAAGTTACTGCTCCAAAAATTAAAATCTGTCATTCTTTTCAACCCCTCATCCTCCAGCTCCTGAACCCACTTATCATGTCAGAATTCCGCACTTAAAGTCTCGATAAGAGACAGAAATCACCTCTGTCCATAGGTGAAGACAACCCTGTAATCACCCTTGCAGTTGTACATGGATATGAGGCTTAGGCTCCACCAGTTAGGTGACTACCTGCTGTACTGTGACCAGATAAGGTAGCACAGAGGCTGGGACTGTGCAGATGCATTTTGGTAAAGATGTTTGAGGGGAAGGAGAGACGTTCACTTTCCAAGAGCAGCAGGGGCAGCAGTTCTAGCCCAGGGTTGTGTCCAGCATCAGGGCTTCAGAGGTGTGAGCAGTGGCATCTGTGCCCAGCATAGGGGGCAATGGTTCCTACCAGGGACTCAACCTAGGGTGGACTGTGGATTCTGTTCCCTGCTATGTAATCTCAAGTTTGGTTTTATGGTCTTCCACACAATAAAATTAGCACTCAGGACCATAAACCCAGTATATGTATAAATTAGAAAAATCTGGCTTCCACAGTTTGCTTCAAGAAGTGAGTAAGAAATCAGTTCGGGGAATAGTTTTGGGTACCAGCATTCAAAGACATTCTTTGTGCAGAGCTGAAGCCACTTCCGAAATCTTCCACCTGGCTCTATCTTATGGTAGAATAATGTGGATTCTGAACATCACGTTATAATTGATGAGATATGCCCTCTCTGTTTTTCTGAAGGAAAAACTTTTAAACAGGGTTTGAAAACCCACCCTGGGCACTGTTTTATCACCGGCCTCAGTGGTTCTCAGTCAAGCTGAGCACTAGGATTGCTGAGGCTAGAAAATACTCAGGCCTCTCACAAGTTTCCTTGTCTCAGCTAATAACACACAAGACCAAGAAATGCTTAATCAACAGGGCCTACAGGTGAGGCTGATGCACAGACATGTAGGATCCTGGCCTGTGTTCTTGCTATTGGAAGTGTGACCTGGAGACCAGCAGCATGAGCTCCAACCTGGTCATAAATACAGAGCCCCACACTCCACTCCAGACTTCCTGTATCACAGCGCCATATTCGGGTGACGCCTGCATACAGGAAAGTCTGGGACTCCCTGGTCTATTTGCCTCCTAGATGTGGTCTATTTGCCTCCTAGATGTTTGCTGTCTGCTCTGGGCTTGCGGCCTGATCAGATCTCTTAGCACTGGAGGTCCAGAGTTCAGTCCTTGTTCCCCTTCTCTTCTGTAGCCAATCACTCCATCAGTGACCTCATCCATGCTTGAAACTTTAATTATCACTTAGATGGACCCAGTCATTTCTCCTAAACTCCAGACTTGTTATTCACCTGCCACCCCAGCTCCCTCTGCATTTCTTGTAGATATCTCCTCCACTTTAGCTACTGTCTGTCCAGACCTCCTGGCCTTCTCACTGTTCCTGCCCTGGTGCATTTGCACTGGAGGGTCCTTCTACCTGGAAAGAACATCCACAGACATCCTCATGTATGATTCCTCATGTCCTACAAATCATTCCTCAAAGTTCTCTTTGCCACAGGCCCACGCTGACCACCAGGAACAGCAGTATCTTCCCTGTCCCCACATACTGACACTCTGGGTTGCCAGCCCACAGAACTTACCACCTTCCAACACAATCACCTTCCTTATTTATTCTGCTTAGAGTATATCTATCATCTGTCTCTTCCCTCTAGACCATATGCTCAAGACCAACAATTTTTCTGTTGTTAATTTAATGATGTTTCTAAGATACAAAAACAATCTGCCATTTATCTGGCAACAACAAATATCTGTTGGAAGAATGATCATGTAAACACACTATCTTTGTTAATGTAGCCTTAGTCCAAGGGCTGTTTTGTGGAACCTACAGCACAATGTCCTCTTACACGGACATCAATGTCACCTGTGCTTTTTCACCAGTGCTGTTGTGTGTCCCCTCCCTCCATACATTCTGCCACACCAACCCTCCTGCAAACAGCAACTCACAATTACATTTCTTTGTGGAAAGAACAGTCCTTGACTATGGGTCCAGTATCCCAAACAAATATAAATCTAAATGAGACTTTTTTACAAATCCATGTGTTTGGAATGGAGCCAGCACTGGGTTTGCTAGAACTAAGGGCAGGAAGAAGGGATAGGAGAGCATTGTAAAGGAGGAATTACAACAGAGATTTACCTAAGATGGTAACTATGGGATCCTTTCTGTCTGCTAATTCCAGAAGTTGGTTCCTCTAAAACGACTGGGCACAGCAACGTGAATGGAACTGGAGGACATTATGTTAAGTGAAATCATCTAGGCATGGAAAGACAAATATTGCATGTTCTCTCTCATAACTGTGAACTAAAAAAATTGATCTCACAAAGGTAGTGAATAGATGGTGGTTACCAAAGGCTGGGAAGGATAGTTGGGTGGGGGAGGAGGAGTAAAGAGAGATTGGTTAATGGGCACAAAAACACTGTTAGATAGAAGGAATAAGACCTAGTATTGGGTGACTATAGTATTGTATATTTCACAATAACCACAAGATTTCGAATGTTCCCACCAAAAAGAAATGATAAATGTCTGAAGTGATGGATACCCTAATTACCCAGATTTTATCATTACATATCATATCTTGTATCAAATATCACATGTACCCCATAAATAGATACAACTATTAAATCCATAAAAATTAAAAAGAAATACAAAATAAAATTAAAAGGTTGAAGAAAAGATGAGAAAAACATAATGCAAGCAAGAGCCCTAGAAGTACAGCAAGAGCTAGGTGGGTCTGAAAATTCATCTCTTGATACCACTGAGACACATTGGTACAGAGGCCTCCCTGGGTGATGTCTGAGTCTCTGTGGACACAACTCCTGCTGCAATGAGGTTCTACTGAAGGGACAAGGACAGTGGAACAGTGAAGATGACCCAGATGAGGACCAAATAAAAAGCATAATAAACTAAGCATCAACTGAACAAAGACCCCATCCACACATGGCTCCTCACAGAATTCCCTTTCCCCATCAGCAACAGACTCAGTTTAGCAGCCATGTGGATTCTGGAAGGTTCTCAGGTCTTCCATTTATTTCCTCTCTCCAATTTTAGAAATCTCCTTTTTAAATTAGCTCATCCATCTCTCATGGCAAGTATTTGAAACACAAATTTATATTCAGATTCCTATTTTCATTAGAGAAGTAAGCAGCTAGAGCTTAGCACCATGAAGTAGAGACGGGGATACAGATGTCCCTACCCCACCTCTTTGGAACAGGAAAGATGATCAGGGAAGGCAATAGGTCAGGGTGGAGAAGGGAGTCAGTGGGGACACAGAGGTGCACTGGTCTTCTCCCACATCCTCACATTATCCTAACAGGAATGCAGACCCATTCAAATGTCCTTTGCAGAAACAGAAGTAAGAGGCTCCTGAAGTCATAAAGGGGAGGCATGAACACATCTTCTATCACTCAGTCCCAAAAAGACAGCTGGGTCATGCTATAGAAGAAAACAGTCATGAGCAAATTCAGATGAGCCATGGTAAGTGGTGACCTTCTGAACAGCCCACCACACACTCAAAATGTCCCCCAAATCTCCACAGCCCACTTGTGTCCCCTCTTCCCCATGCCCTCCTCCACCACATTAGGCTCCCCAGGGTCACACTTTTAGAAGTTGTGAGAGACACATCAGAGCCCTGGTCACTGTCACCACCTGGAGTGGAACAAAAAAGGACATGGTCAGAGTCCACAGGAGATGCGGTACAGGAAAAATTATGGAGTGGGTGAGCTCCCCTGTAGGCTCCTACCTACACTGTTTCAAGAACCTGAGGGATCATGGCCACCACACTTACTTGCAGCCTGAGAGTAGCTCCCTCCTTTTCTACCTGTGGGAAGAAAATGTCCAGTGAGAAGCCAGGGAGGAGGCAGGCCCATGAGGGCCTAGAGGAAGTCCTAGTCTTGGACCCCAGGGAAGTTTCCCAAACTGTGACTATAGACTCAGGGCAGCCTCAAGAAACAAGAGGAAAGGAAATGTGTAAGAACTGGACCAACTCCCCCCTTGGAGGTCTGTCCTCAGCAGAGACTTTCCCTGCAACCTGTGACTATTGGGAATTATGTCCACTTCACCACGATCATCAAGGTGAAAAATCTGTCCTTTATTTCCACCTGTGCTTTGCATAAGAATAGGTAAGTGTTGACACACAGGGTCCAGGTTGAATAAGCACCTATGTGTGGATGGTACTTCCCACTCATGAGGTCAGACACACATCTACCAAAAACTTGAAATGCCCAGTGGGACAAGAAAACCCAGACCATACCCCTCACCCCTTCCCTACCTGAGTTCTTCTTCCTCCACATCACAGCTCCAGTGACCACAGCTCCAAGGAGAACCAGAAACAGGCCAGTAACGATTCCCACGATGAGGATGGTGGTCTGGGAAGATGGCTCTGGGAAAGGAAGGGAAGGTGAGGGGCCCTGACCCCCAGGCCTCAGCCCTGACCCTGCTGAGGGTCTCCAGAAAGGCTCCTGCTTTCCCTGAGAAGAGATTTGACCCCCACCCCCCTCCTTACCCCATCTCAGGGTGCGGGGCTCTGGCAGCCCCTCGTGCTGCACATGGCACGTGTATCTCTGCTCCTCTCCAGAAGGCACCACCACAGCCGCCCACTTCTGGAAGGTTCCATCCCCTGAAGGCCTGGTCTCCACAAACTCCATGTCCTGAGTTTGGTCCTCTCCATCCCGTTGCCAGGTCAGTGTGATCTCCGCAGGGTAGAAGCCCAAGGCCCAGCACCTCAGGGTGACATCCCATCAGGGCTGGGATGGTGGGTCACGTGTGTCTTTGGGGGATCTGAATAAGAGTCAGAAAATGTAGGCACTTTGCATCCCTCCTGGGACCCTCCAGCAGTGCCCATGTGACCATCCTGAGAATGGACAAGACAACCGGGGTGGAGAAAGAAGCACAAAGTTCACACCAGCCTGACAAAGGCAACTGGGATAATCTACTCCTTGGAAAGTTCTAGTCTCTGAGGAGAGAGAAGGGACTTCTGGTCCTGACCTGAGTCGAGGCCGAGTGACTCCAGAGAGCTGAAATCAGACCTCCAAAAACCTTGATTGTGAAGTAGAGAACAAGACCTGAGAGAAAAAGTCATGGTATCCAAGGCTGCTGCAGGGGTCAAAGGGAACCCCTGATCCCTATTTCAGGGATTGTCTTCCCCTCCCTTCCCTTAGAGACTCCATCCATCTCTATTGTCCCAGAGAGAAGGGCGGGCCTCAGAGTCACTCTCTGGAACAGGATCTGGGAACCCAGGAGGATTCTTCCTGCTCTGGACCACGGTAGGGTGATATTCTAGCGTTGACCCCATCTTCCTCCCCTACCTGTGGGGGTCAGCCCGGGAGATCTGTAGGAGGTTGGGAAGGGCCCTCTTACCCGTGCGCTGTAGCGTCTCCTTCCCGTTCTCCAGGTGTCTGAGCAGCCACTCCACACACCGGCCCTCCAGGTAGGCCTTCACGTGCTCTGTCACACCGCCCTCCTCAAACTTGCGCTTAGAGTTTTGAGCCGCAGTGTCCGCCGCGGTCCAGGAACTCAGGTCTTGGTTCAGGGTGAGGTAATCGGCGCCGTCGTAGGCGTACTGTTTGTACCCGCGGAGGAGGCGCCCGTCCGGCCCCACGTCGCAGCCATACATCTTCTGGAGGGTGTGAGACCCTGGCCCCGCCCCGGAGTCAGCCCCGCCCGCCCGGCCCTGCCCCTCCCTCCCGAACCTCGGGGATTGTGGCCGAAACCGAAACTGAAAGCGGGTAAAAGCCGCCCGAGCCCCTCCCCGGGTCGAGGGTCGCGGCGGGTCCCGCGGCCTCGGGGTGAATCTCGGACCCGGAGACTCGGACGACCCG